CGCCGCCCGGGCTGATGGACCCCCCCGCCTCCAAGTGCACACATTTTTGTGCATTGGGCCTCTAGTTGGTTAATAAGATAATATAGGTTTCAAGTGTACATTTCTATGATACATGATCAGTATATTGCATTGTATGCCCACCAAAGTCAAATCATATACGGTACCACCATATATTTAGTACCCTTAACCCTTTACTATCCCACCACCCCTCTTCCCTCTGGTAACCAGCATACTGTTGTCTGTGATTATGACTTTCAGTTTTATATCCCACATGAGTGAAATCAAATGGTTCTTAGCTTTTTCTGACTGACTTATTTCGTTTAGCATGATATTCTCAAGGTCCATCCATATTTCATCTTTTCTTATAGCTGAGTAGTATTCAATTGTATTTGCATCACATCTTCTTTACCCAATTATCTATCGAAAGACATTTTGATTGTTTCCGTGTCTTGACCACCATGAATCATAATTCTGCAATCCACATAGGGGTGCACATATCTTTGCAAATAAATATTTTCAACTTCTGGGGGGAGATACCCATAAGAGGGACTGCTAGGTCATATAGTTAACTCTATTCTTAATTTTTTGAGGAGCGTTCATACTGTGTTCCATAATGTCTGTACCAGTTTACATTCCCACCAGCTGTGAATGATGGTTCCTTTTCTCCACACCCTCTCCAACACTTATTTCCTCTCTTGTTGATAACAGCCATTCCTAACAGGTGTGAGGTGGTATCTCATTGTAGTTTTGATTTGTATTTCCCTAATAGCTGGTGAAGTTGAGCATCTTTTCATATATCTGTTGGCATTTATATGTCTTATTGGTCCTTTACCCATTTTTTAATTGAATTATTTGTTTGTTTGGTGTTGAGTTGTATGAGTTCTTTATAAATTTTGGATATTTTTCTACTTGACAACACATCTCTTTTATAATAGAGGTAGAATAGAAACAATGAACTTTAAACTATGCTGATATCTAACGAAATGATCACAATGTACCTAGCTAAATAATTTGGTTTATGGCAGCTCCTCCACTTAAATAAGAAACACGCCCTGACCGGTTTGGCTCAGTGGATAGAGCGTTGGCCTGTGGACTGAAGGGTCCTAGGTTCGATTTTGGTCAAGAACATGTACCTTGGTTGCGGGCATGTCCCCAGTGGGGGGTGTGCAGGAGGCAGCTGATCGATGTTTCTCTCTCATTGATGTTTCTAACTCTCTATCCCTCTCCCTTCCTCTCTGTAAAAAATCAATAAAATATATTTTTTTAAAATAAGAAACACAAAAGACAGATGTAGGCTGTAGAATTGGCTTTCCAAGGACACAGACATAACCTAAAAGAGTATTGAGAGTAGCATAGTTTCTTATTAACTGAGAAGCTATTGGAGCCTAATGGAAGACATGTCCCAACATGAAACAGCACAGCTCCAAAGGTTTTTCTTCGACTCACCTAAAAGTCTCCTGGAACTTAGGTTCACTAGCAGTACTCTCACTTCATATAGGCTCATTTACCTTCTTTCTAGTATTTAGAAACTTCTAAAAAGATACATACCAATCTATTGACACTAGTTACCTAAGAGAAGGAAAATGGGTGGGAATGGATAAAGATCTTTTTCTTTTTACTCCCCATACTTCTGAATTTTGTCCTTTCTTTATAAAAACAGTATCATTATGTGTACATATTGGAGTATACACTATATTCCACTGGTCTTCTACCTCAAAGTTCTGTATTACTATATTGTCACATACATACCCTTCAATCCTCTCTGTAACAGCAAAGTATTTACACAATACTGCTTTTTTAGTCTCATATCTACATATTAGAACATTTTAAGTGAGTAGGAAAAGTGCTAAAACAATCACAGATGATCATCCCAATAGGACAAAACATTTCTTCAATTACATTACCTGATCAGGAAAAAATTCTTGAAGAAATGGACCCAATAGTATGATTCCTAATCCTTCTGGATCTAATTTATTCTTCATGAGATTTATACTGCGGGGAGAGAAAAACAAACAAACAAAAAAAACAAAACAGTGGGTAACAAAGGAAAAAAAGCTTATTTTTCTTCTTTCATGATTAAATTACTGGTACTATAACACATTGACTGCCAAAAATCTTAAGAACTGTTCTTTTTAGCCTCTTAATGACAAATACACAGGAATGACATCTGATTTGCCAAAACTTGGTTATTTTTAAACCAGAGTAATCTGTTACTATTTAGAATTTAAATTATGACGATGACTTTGGAATACTGTTCCTTATTAGGTAAAGTAATTTAAAAATTTAGGCTTCTAAGCACAGACTTATAATCCCCCAAAGGCAAATTCTCTTTGCTTCATAGGTATGCCTAAATTTAACAATCAAATGAGGCATTTAACTTAAAAATGTTTATTTTAAGCTCAAGGAGAAAAAGAAACAGGGTCAAAAGGAAATGGTGCATCAAAAACATCTCCTAAAAAGCTTTCCAGAACCAATTGAGGTGGAAGCTTAAAATTCTTAGGCAATGTAACTTGAAGTTTAAAGAGGTAGGATAATTCTCAAAGAGCTAAGGTATAGTGAATTATAAGTGGTATATACTTGATTGTCTAGTAGCAGCCTAAACTAGATAGTGCTTTGCACAGCTCTTACCATGTAGGTGTAGCCAAGGCTGGTGAAAGGTATTATGTGTGATTAAAAAGAAGGCAAAGAAAAAAGCAGACTGCAGTTGGAAGGATTTTTAAAATGAAAACTTTCTGAAAAGAAATTTTTCATTCTCCATGTTATCTCCTAAACTAAAAATGCCAAGTTAAATACGCCTTATTATTAAACATGCAAAGGATGTGACATTTTAAAGGGTCTGAGTAAGAGCAGGAGGTTATGACATGAAACAAATGAAGGTAAGGTCACACTGTATATAATCCATCTAATTTATTAATCCTAAATTTGGTCCTGTTAATTTAAGGGCCATCATGTATTATAAACCATACCAAAATACAGAGTGAATAACTGAGTCTAATCTTTTAGCTACTTCTAGAAAGACAATCTGACTAAATTATACTAACTTTATAATTCAAGATATGCTATGTATTTTAAGGAAAGAAGAAAAATTAATCTATGCAAAAATTGAAAAAAAATCACTTTTCCTTTTTTCCCTCCTTCCTGTAGTAAGAAATATCAGTAACCAAAAATACTTGAGTTCAATTCTCTTTTGCAAATTAAGACAATGAAAAAAAGATGATCTCCATTTGGAAATCAGTTTAGAGGAAATACATTAATTACTATTTTTCCATTTATTGGACTAGTTCAATTCTTTTAAGTTGGAAACAGCAATTATGTCTGTTAAGAATGGGTAACATCATAGTTATAAGTAGTAAGACTCAGATATTAATTCAGATGTGATTAGTTTGTAAATGTATATATGCATTTCATACTTTCAAAGAAAACACACCTGATTTATTTAAAAACAAAATATGGTCAAGTTTTAAAAACTATGTGCATCAATATATTTTACATTGTTTTTGCTGAATCCTTTCCTTAAATGTTTTGTAAGCTAAAGTTTGTTCATTGCCAAAAAAATTTTTTCAGAAGAAAAACAACTTGTGCAGGTAAAACAAAAGCTAGTGTACATCATAGGTGATCTTTATTTTATTTCCATATTTAATCAAGATATGTATCCACTTAAGAAGAAGCACTTTGTGCTCATGCATAATAAAGATCCCAAATTTATGGAAGAAGTGATAGATGCAGCAAATGAGCAAATATAACAGTGAGACTGAAGACGGTGACATAATATTAATGTTGGTCAATACTTTGATACTTTCAGTACTGAAAAATTATATTCTGTGATATTCTGTGTCTCTTACAAGGTTTCGGCTCAGTTAGTTTAACCCGTTGTATGCCACAAGCGTCTACAGACGCAATGATGGTTTCCGTTTTGGACGTGTTGCAGTTAACTGGTTAATCGCATAGAGATGTTCAAGGGCTAGCAATATAGACATTATACAGAACTGTCACGACTCTCACTTAAGCTACTAAAGATATGGGCAAAATTTTTTTAAATGGAAAAGGTTTCAGTGAGAAAAAGACATATTTAGTTTGTTAAAAAATGACATTTATATTTTAGCACATTTTCAGAAGGATAAGTGCGTAGTAGGAATAGTGGGAAGGAAAGCTCATTTTTAGTATGTCAAGTTTGTACTATAATACTGATTAGTCTGATTTATTCCTAAATCTTTGCTTTATATAAAGTACTATGCTTCATATATGCAGGTTTAGATTTTTTTAAAAAGCAAAACTGTGTATATTTTAAATTAACTGGAATTTTTGAGTTGGTTAAATAATACTTCCTATTTACTTACTATTCAGGATCTGAAACAAGGTCCAACGCTTTCATCACATCTTCTAGAAGTGAATCAGGTATGAATCCATTATCTAGGGGAAATGGAAACAACCTGGATTATGAGTTTACTTCGAGAAATGCTATTACTACTGATCATATTCCAGTGAAAAATCATTTAAAATGTATATAAAGAGTTAAGAACATCTTATTAAGGTTATTTAGGTACAATGCCTATTATTATTAGACATTCTCTTATATTAGTTTTCTGGGCACATAGGTACAGATTTATTTTCAAGGTTAGTTTCTGAGAACTTAAAGGAAACCTTAAAGCCAAATTGCTTCTTGAATCAGGCTTACAAATTTAAATGATAGAAGTTTGTTTCCACTTAAAACAAATATTTAGTAATTAAGTGTATCTTTCAACAATGTAAACTTTAAATTTCCTTTAAGAAATCAAGTTAAAACAATTCTTTATCTTCAATATATTCCTTTCATCACAATGTTATTTAACTTTTTGAAGAATGTTAATGTTTCACTGGTATTTAGAAAACTGACAATATAAGAACAAGAAAAGATATCCTTATAACAGCCTTGATTTAAATAAAATGGGAAAAAATTAAAAGTTGAAGTGCAAAGTAAATCAAATGTTGATAAAGACCAGCCTAAGGAAAATAATCCTTTTCTTGGGCTTGATAAGGAAATAGCACTAGCAAATGGCTCAAACTCTAATGATGCAATAGAATGTGACACACACAAAAAGCTTGCAGAACAGTGTGAAATAACAGTAGTTTTAAACAAACAAGTTGCTTATTCCCTTAAATGTACAGTGCCTGAGTTCTTCTACCCATTTACTCATTCCTGAAGACTGTCTCAGCTTTAAATAAACTTCTAACACAATATCCTTTTCAGGAATAGACACTTTAAAAAAAAAATCATGTCATGGAGAACAAGATGTCCAAAAGCCCTGCTTCCACAATCAAATAACAAAATAAAGTGTAGCTGCTTTCAGGATGTGGCATGACCTCTGTCTCTATCAGAAAGGAATAAAGTAGTTATGATTTTAAAATGGTGTTTTCTTAAACTTCATAAGCAGATGCTTATCCATTTGAAGATAGACTGACCTTGACTAAAAGGCTAGGTAATATTCATTTAGGGTAATTAAATGAATTTTAAAAAGTGAAGGTTTAGAATAATTCCAATTTGTCAAGTTACCAGTAGTTTGAGGTAGAGCAAATAACAAACTTATTCTCTGTAAGCCTAACTTTGATGAGTTTGAAATGTAGGGGAAAAAAATATTTGTTTTGCTTTGTTAAGTCACAGCCAAAAGTTCAGCATCTCTGAATGCAAAACAGTCTTCATTTGGCCACTAGCAGGCAGGAACAATTATCTACAACCGTGTCTGTGCTTGTGGGCTGTCATGTGGATCCACTTGACTTGACAAACGCAGTGGAATTATCCTGATCTCCAGGAGCAGCGAATGGCAGAGCCTTATCTATTCTTGCCATAGCCCGAGACTCAGTCCGCTCTCCTATTGGTTGGATAAAGACACAAACAGCAGCTAGGAAAACAACGAAGTGCTCTTCTTAGCTCAAACAGGACCTCAAGCTTAAATATCCCAACACGTTTCTAAGGAATGTGTGAGATTTACAACTCATAAACACTTTCTGGAGTACAACAATAACTATAATAAGTCAGTGACTCTACACTTCGTACATACAGTATTTTAAAACCAGAGATTGTAATATAATTTTCTCAATACCTCAAAGACTTTACCCACAATTGAAAGAGGAGATCTGGAAATTGCTTATCTCTTTGAAACATTTATTTTGGCATTACTTTATTCTTTAATCATTCCTATCAAGAAAAATTCTTGATACAATTCTTGAAAAAGAACAGAATCATTAAGTCTAAAACCAGATGAAACTAGTATTTACTCAACTGATTCATTAGAGATATTGAAATACAGATACAATGATGATAAAGACCTCAACACACAGTAAAAAACAGCAGAGGAAATCTGGGAGAATACAATTGGTTGACTAGGCAGCACACCAAAAAAGCACTAAAAGAAAAAGTAGAACTTGAATGCCTGGGTAAGAACTTAAATACATTAATATAAAAAGGACTTTTATAAGGTTAAGCTTAGAGGAATGGGGGTTCTGCAATGAGGAGAACTAAAGGAGGCACAGCAATTGTGATGGTAAGCAAGTACTGTGTAAATATTAGGATACAGTTAAATTGTGTTTTAAAACATTTGAAAAAGAGGAAAAAGCTGTATGTTTAAAAATAGGTTTTTTGGTGTGTTTTTAAACAAGCAAACAGATTGCAAAAAGTGCCAACCTCCTAGATGTTGAGAGTAGAAATAGCTCAGTGCAAGGAGTAGTGATGCAGGGGAGTGAAAATTAGTTAGGTGAGTTTGTAATTTCCTGGGTAAAAGAACCATTTCATAATTGTGCAGAAATCAGAGTTCGATTTTACAGAGAAGGAAGTACCAGTCATAGTTTCTGTTCTGAAAGATTAGGGACTATAAGGAACAGCCTGAAGGGGGAGTCTGTCAGATCCGTTTTAACTGGGACACTAACTAAATTGGGTGCTGCAGGAAGAAAGCAAATGTCAGGAATTAACAAAGGGCAAGACACAACCTGTGAAGAGGCTGGGGGAAAGGGGCGAAACATTTGAGAATGTAACATTTCCAAACCACTGTAAGTGAGAGAGAGTAAAAAAAAGAAAAGAAAACCAAGAGCTAGTTAGGGAAAACTTAATGCCACTTTAGTCAAATAATTAATAGTTGTTATATATTTACTAAATGTTGTATTATACTTTACCTATTATTTTAAAATTTTAATAACATATACGTGATTTTTGCCCCTAGGCAAAGTTATTTTCATATTTCAGCTTTCCTTGGTTTCTTTGCCGTTTGCTCAGCTGGCTCCCAATTGATGAGGAGCTCTTAATGGCAGGGATTCCATAAGCCCAGGGCCCAGCACGGTGCCTGGCACAAGTACCTGCTCAATAACATTTGTTACATTTAATTATTGAATCTAGTCCTCACTTCAAATTTCAACAAACTACTCTGTTCAGGCACCATAGTTTTTTCAAAAAAACTAGTTTTGTGAATTGAACATATGAAGTTCAGAAAGAAGTGAGTAATTTATTGCCTGTGTTGTAGAACCACTTCTATCATGTGATGGAAAAACTGCAAAACAAACAAAAAATGGTGGCAAGATACAGAAAAACTATGGCAGGGACAGCATGAAAGAAACAGTGATGACAACATTACAGCAAGATGAAGAAAGACAGTGAAAAGGGAGAAAAGGGAAGCAGCAAAAGTATAGAATGGAACTGGAGAGCATTATGCTCAGCGAAATACGCGTCAGCGAAAGATAAATATCACATGATCTCACTCATTTGTGGAATATAATGAACAACATAAACTGATGAACAAAAACAGATCCAAAGACAGGGAAGCATCCACCAGACCGTCAAACCTCAGAGGGAAGGTAGGAGAAGGTGGGGGTAAGGGGGAGAGACAAATAAAGGACTTGTATGCAGCATATAAGCCCAACCAATGGACACAGACACCAGGGCATGAGTCGGGGGCAGGAGGGGGAGACAATGGGAGGATAAGGACACATATGTAATACCTTAATCAATACAGAAATAAATAAATAAAAGAGTAGAGAAAGAGATGTATCATTTAAAAGGAACAGAAAAGACTGAGTTAAACAAAAGGCAATTTCTAGATAATATCTAAGGATTGCTATAATTGAAACAATCTATAAGTAAAATTATTCTTGTTGTTGTTAATCCTCACCTGAGTATTTATTTTTCCATTGATTTGCAGAGATAGTAGAAGGGAGGAAGGGAGGCAGAGGGGGAGAGAAACATTGATGTGAGAGACACACATCAATTGGTTGCCTCCTGCACATGCCCCGACCAGGGCCCGAGATCAAACCTGCAATCCTTTGGTGTGCAGGCTGACACTCCAACAACTGAGACACACCAGCCAGAGTGTAAACTTATTCTTAAAGATTAAAAAATACAGTACAATGAAATCATTCAGACAAAACATGGCTCTAACTATATTTTAGCCACTTTAAAAATAGTATTTAAGGGGCTCCTTTTAAATCAAACTATGTATTCCTGGCTCAAATACTAGTAGGGTTGCCTCTTTATATGTAATTCTACTAGGGGGAGAGTATAAAAGAGAAAAAAGAAAACAAATTTTAAAAACCCATTAGGTGTAGTGTGAAAACCTGTGTCTATTTCAAATTCCATCTATGTAGAATCCTGTGGCTTTGGACATTACTGAATAAGCTCTATGTCACACATTTTTGAATTTTTTATAAAACAACAATATGGTCAACTTATTGAGTATTTGAATAATCATGTAGATATTAAATCCATTTCACAGCTGAGAAAACTAAGGTTATGAACTTGCCTAACATCACACAGTTAATGACTACCAGAGGTGGTATTTGAATCCAGGCTTCCGATACCAACTGGAGTGCTTTCAGCTCTCAAGAATTTACAAACTGCCACAAGATTGGTTTTCTTAAGAACAAAATGGTAATGATAATCCCTGCCTATCTCCTAGGTTTAAGGAAGGTTTTAATGAGATCATACAGGTAAAGTGCTTTATAAATTGTACGTTCCATGTAAAGCCAGACATAATTATTATTTTTAAACAGGCCCACATTTATAAATCAGGGTTATGTTTCAAAAGGTAATTAATAAATCACCTGTTTAGAACACTGAAAAATGTAGTTTCATAGTGTCAATACTATAAGTAGTGATTAGCCTGCACAAGTCCATTTAATTCATAATATATCTAAAGCATGGTGCTAACAGTGCTAACAGTGCTACTCAAACACATGAGTAGCAGCCAGGGCAGGAGCAATAAGCACAAAAATATTCATGGGTACCAGAACTCAAATTCTCTTTTCTTCAGCGTCCCTCTAGGTCAATTATTCTACAAATATTCTGAAGAGGGTGACAAAGAACAATTGTCCCCATAACAGCCTCTGCTAAACGGAAAGTGGAACTACCCAGAAGCTTGTAAGAACGGTAAGTATATTAAGTGTTCTGGGAA